TGAAAACCAATGTGGGTTATTATGAATTGGAATTGACATAACAGCAGAGGGTCTCACACACACACACACACACACACACACACACACACACACACACACACACACACACACACACACAGGCACCTCATCTCTGTTCTTAAATTTTATACAAACGATTTCATTACTGTTTTACTCATTGTTTCGGAGATTCGTTAATAATGGACACACACGCCTTGAATTCATCCAATGGCTAAAAAAAGTCCCTCATATGGAAATATTACCTTCTTCAAGCTTATAATCAATATTTACCAATGTGCTTCACATCACAATTTTGTTTAGCCACTCCACACACAAAGGAAATTCGTTCATGATAAAAGAAAATGTATTAATCAATATATCCTTCTTTAAGGGTTTCTTTAAGGGTTATCCCAAGAAATGGTATCACTGAATTAAAGGAAGCCCACAAGTAGTTTTATGAGAGACAGCTTAATGTCCCACCAAGGTAACTGCGAATTTATGCACACCCATGCATAACCACAGTATAAAGCAGTCCTGTTTCCTTATCCATTGATCATACTCAGTGTTAAAATTTTTTCTAATATAATGAAAATAAATCTCTTCTAATTGTCTTCCTTACTAGTGAGGCAGAGTATGTTTTTCTATTGTCAGTGAACATTGGATGAACATATTGAGAATATGTCAATTAATATGCTGTTGTTGTTATATGCCATCAAGTCAGACCTGACTCACAGCTGACCATCCATCTGGCTTTTAGAGGTAGAAAATCAAAGGGAAGGAGACTGCCCATCTTTCTCCCACGGAGCAGCTAGTGGATTCGAACCACATGCCTTTGGGTTGGCAGTGCAACTCCTTACCACCAGACCTCTTGTCAATTAACATGTTGTTGTTATGTGCTATCAACTTGCTTGTGACTCATAGTAACTCTATGTATGATAGCCCTGAAACCTGCTCTATCCTGTGCCAACCTCACTGTCTCTGACATGCCTACTACCCTCATTACCCAGTCACTGAATCCATGCATCTCATCAAGGGTCCTTCTCTCCTGCGCTGTCCCTCCACCCTTCCAAGCATGACGTCACTCTCCAAGGACTGGTTATAACATCGCCAGAGTGTGTTAGATGATGCCTTGGAATCTCTGCCTCCAAGGGGCAGCTTGGTTCCACCCTCTCCAGGACAAACTTGTTTGTTCTTCTAGCAGTCCATGGTATATTTGATACACTTCTCCAGCACCACAGCTCAAAGGCATCAATTCTCTTTCTATCATCCCTAGTCACTGTCCTGCTTTCTGATGCATAGCAAGTAATTGTGAAGACCATGGCCTGTATTAGGTGTAACTTAGTCTCCAGACTGATGTCGTTGGTCTTTAGTACACTGAAGACAAAAACCCTGACAGATCCCAATATAGTGAAATCAATTTTAGTCTTTGTGACATCGCATTCTTTTACTCTTTTTAAGTGTTTTCTTCTCTATTACTTAGCCATTTGTTAATAATTTTTGTGTAGTGATGGATACTAGTCCTTTTTATCTCCAAAGATGACACAATATTGCTTGCGGAAAGAGGGAGGTCATGAAGTGCTTGACACAGAAGATGAAAGATTAAAGCCTTCAATATGGACTACATCTGGCCATCAAGGAGGCAAAACCCCTCACCACTGGGCCAACAGGCAACATCACAATAGATGAATGGAGAAAAGACTTAAGCTGTCAATGATTTTATCTTAACTGGATCCACAGACAGCACCCTTGAAACTAGCAGTCAGGGGATCAGGTGACACCCCGCATTGGGCAAGACTGCTGTCGGGGACCTCTCCAAATCACTGAGGGGCAATGATGTCGCTATGAAGACTAAAATGCACTTGACTCAGGCCATGGTCTTTTCAGTCATTTGCTTGGCATCTGAAAGCTGCACAATGAATAACAGATGACAGAAGAACTGATGTCTTTGAGTTGTGCTGCTGGAGAAAAGTATGAAGCATCCCGTGGACTGTCAAAAACCCAAACACATACTGGAGAAAGTGCAGACAGAAGGCTCATTGGAGGCTATGATGACAGAGCTTCGTCTCATGTACACTGGCCATGTTGCTAACAGAGGCTACTGCTCGTACAGGGACATCATGCTTGGCAAGATGGACAGTCAGTGAAACAGAAGCCGACCCCACAGCTAGATGGACTGACGCAGTGACTGCAGCAAGGAGCTCAGGTGTTTGATGAGGACGACACAGTACAGGGCAAGACTCAAACCTGCTGTTCACAGGGTCACCAGGAATCGTACTGACCTTACTGCACCTAACAACAACAGTTCTTTGTTATATGCGCTGTACATATCTTCTCCTGACTTGCTCTTTTAAGTCCATCAGAGAAGAAACCTAAGTAATTTGAACTTGTACGTTAAGAAATTAAAAGATAAAACTTGAAGGTTTTGAAATGGAAGTGGAACTGAAGCATGAGGTTACGTATTTGTTGGATGCATTTATATCACTATCATTTATTGAGGATCTCATAATTTGCCCTTTGCTTTCAAACTTTCTTGTCTTTGAAGCATTATTGGATTACTCTGCTTTCATTTATATGATCTGTGAATGATAACACTTTAGTTCCTTACTTAAATCCACTTGCCTAGGTGTTCAACTCTTCATGTATTTCTTATTTCCAGGACTAAATATAACTCTGGATGCCATTCATAATTAAGAAAGAAAAAACCACTAAACCACTATATTCTCATTAATTACTATATTTTTAAATCAGTAAGGCCAGAACTTTAACCGCCATATTCCCACCCTCCCAAGTCCCAAGTCTCCTTTTCCGTCACTGTTGTTGTCAAGGAAGGAGCCTGGACTAGAAGGTGCAATGGAAACAAGTCAATTACATGACAGACAGAAAAGGCAACTTTGCCTCTTCCTTTGAACATCATCTGACTCTGTCTTACTCTCTCTGCTACTGAGTCAGACCAGCCCAAAGCTGACCCCCCCTCCACCCGCAACTGGTTTTCAGAGCAGACAGACTGTTCATCTTTCTCCCAAGAAGGTGCTGGAAGGGTCCCACCACCAGAGGCACCACTTCTGTGTAGCAGCACCTTCCCATGAACTCTGTTGCAGATCCCTTACTGTCTTCTAGAACAGTGTTACTTTTCCCTCCAACAGCAAATCAATAAACATTCACATTCTATACATATCAAGATACAAGTTCAAAGCATAATACTTTAGAGTATCTCCCATGTTGAAAAGGTAATTTAAACTTCACAATTAAAGCTTCTCTTGTCCTTATTTGGAATTCTCCCAGTATCACTACAATGATGAATCACACCTTATAGAAAATCCTCCCATACTTGGACCTAATACACTGAAACATCAATGTTTTTCCATTAAAAAAGTAAAACATAGTAGAAGCAAACTTAGATGTAGCAAAGAAAAACCACAACCTCGCTTCTAAATTCAGCACTAAACAGGTACAAATGCTTTGAAAATGGGGATAACCTTTACATACTGTGATTTGCAAGCTTTTGTATTTTATTCTTCAACCAATAATATAGTTACCTCTGCTCGGAACATCGCAGAATTCGAGTTAAAGATACATAGTTTCCTTCGACTGTTCCTTTGCTTACAGTTGGAATACATTTTCTGCAAGCCACATATAAGGCACATGCTAACCAATGAAGATCATTTCCCTGTAAAAGAAAAGGAATATTAGCTACTGTTGTCAATTTATTACAACATAAAAGATCCTTATACGCAAATCAAAAGTGTTATTTCTATTATCTACAGAGAACAATTTTCCAATGACAGATCGATACACTCTTTTCATAATACAATACTGTCATCTTCCATTATGAGGTAAGACTCTGAGCCTGGGAGACTCAGGGCTTTCCCTTGAGCCTAGAATCTGTTGAGATGCTAATCAAAAGGCCACTTGTCTCTGGTGGTTCAAATTCACCAGCAGCTCTACGAAAAAACAGATGAATTGTCCCTTCTGTTAAAGACATACAGCCTCCTACACTTGATGCAGGATGACTGTGAGTTGTAACTGACTCAAAGTTTCTGTGTTCTTCTGCAGGTGATGGTATACAGCTTTCAAATCATAAAAAGCAACAGATTTTACCTGGCTCCTTCACTTTCTGGACCTTTGTCCTGAAAATCCTGAATAATACCGTAAAAATTTATCTGTCCTCAATCATAGTAAGTTAGAGAAAACACAAGACAAGTCTACACGAATGTAGAGAGATAGCCAAAGATCTCCTGCTACGTTAGCCCCTAACTGTTCAAGGTTTTTAGGTATAGCGCCAGACTGTGAAGTTCATGATTTGAACATCAAATAATGAAGAATATCATTTGTTCACTGTACTCCATACGCCATTTCTAACCCACAAAATTTTTTAGCATAATAAATAGCTTTTATGCTATGAAGTTTGATGGTAATTTGTCACATAGCTATTGTAACTGGAACGACATTGGTGTTTGTATATTTATCTTGCTCAAAATTCAAAAAGTGAAATAAATAAATGGGAAGAGGGGGAACTATAATGTATATTGAGTCACTCATTTTACAACTAAAGAAACTGTATATACAACTAGAGATACACAAAATGTGCTTTTGGAACTATGTGGACAACTGTGGATCCATTCCTGGACAGCAGTCAAAGCAAATCATTCTTAGGACAATGTTTCTAAAAGAGCACCTCCCACCTTCCTGTTAAAGAAATGACATTTCCCTCTCCCCAGCAAGCCTTTAATTACACTGTATCCAAAAGGCCTAAGTGACAATGAGAGAACCTAAAAATTCTTCATTTTTCACATGTAACACACAGACTTGCTTAAAAACCCGATTATAGTTGTTCTTATGGCATAGATTTTCTACTTTAAAAAAGTACACAGAATAGTGCAGAATAAGTCAAAGTTCCAATCTCTTGTTCACAGGGTTGCTATGAATCATAGACAAGTGGGTGTCACATAACAAGATATTTGTATACACGAACTATTGTGTGTTAAAGATTTTTGTAAAAAAAAAAAAAAAGATTTTTGTATTAAATACATCTCTGGGAGCTGGTTTCAAGGGATTTCCAATTTATCATATTTAACAACAAATTTAGTGATAGTAATTACTGAATTCCTTTACTGTGTCCAGTGTTATTCTTTTTATTCAATGGTTTTTCATTTTATTCAATTCATTCTACTTAATTTTTCACTTGCATTTTGTTTTGTAACATTAAGGACAATAGGAAATGCCATTTATTACAGGATCTCAGCAAATCTTCACTGTACTTTGCCTTTCTCTTCATCCTATTCAGCCATCTGCTAATCTCTGCGCCCACCTCCGCCGCATCCCTGTCAACCCTACAAGACTGTTTCTAACCATGCGTAAATTGTCCCAAGCTTCCCCACATCCCCATCTAATCAGTCATGCATATCTAGTTCAACATTGGTTCTTTAAAAATTATTATTATTAATTTTCATGAAAATTTACAGAGATTTTGGGTTTCCATTCATTCACTGTTGCACTTTTCTCCCTGCCCACCCCTGCCCTCCAGTTCATTCTTCTCTTTGAAAAGAAAAATTCTTTCTTGTTATACAATCCCTCCCCACCCCCAGTTCCACACTGTTGACCACAATACACACATCTGCTTGTCCATTCTTTTCACACTGTCCTTCCTTATAGCTATTGCAATAAAGTGTACATTTCTATTCATTTCCTACCTTCCCCCAACTCTTCACACCCTCAAGAACTACACTAGACTGATTTTCTCCATCTGTCAACTTTTCTCTAGTTTTTTATATTTTTGATGTTGTTGATTGCTGTTGGCTGGAGTGTGACTCATAGAAGACCTAAGGCCTTCCTGTAACTATCATCATTTCTCAAAGTTCATAGAGTTTCCAGAGGCATGTTGTTTAGGAAGTGGATGCTACTCCTGCTTGGGAGGTAATTTGCTTTCATAACAGTATTTGTCCTTTTGTGATTGAGACCTTTTCACCCAACCATAATGTTCTCCAGACTCATCCATGTTATACAGGGATTAACCAGGTCTTCATTGTTTTTGAATGCGGCAGAATACTCTAATGTGTAAATGCACCAGAGTTTCTCCACCCACTCTTTTGTTAATGGGCACCTGAGCTGTTTCTTTGTAAGGTGAATAATGATGTCATAAACATGAGTGTGCGGATATCTGTTTGTGTCTCAACTATTTTCTGTTTGTGCAGAATATATTGTGTATCTGCAGATATTTGGGTTGCAGATCCAGCAGCTACTCCATAGGGGAAGGATGGTCAGTCTCCACTCGTGTAATTAACTGCCTCAGAAAATTCACTAGAAGGTCAGCTATGGGCTGCTTCCAACTCCGGCACACAACCACAACCCAGTAGTGAAACAGCCGGATCAAATGATATTTCTGTTTTCAGCTGTCTTCCATAGTGGGTGTGCCATTTCCCCCTTCCCACCAGCAGTGTTTGAGAATTCTAATTGCTCTGCATACTTGGAAGCATTTGTTATTTGAACTTTGCTACTATTTCCAGGGTGAACTGATACCTTGTTTTCATTTGTATCTCTCTAATGGCTAGTGAACTTGGGCATCTTTTCTATATTTGTTAGCCACCTAAATGTTTTCTTGGTCAAGCGTCTTTTCAAATCTTCTGCCCATTTTGTAACTGGATTGTCTTTTTCATGTTGAGGTGCTGAAGTTCTTGATGAACTTCATATATGAGTTACTTACCAGATGTGTCATTAGCAAATATTTCCCCCTGTCTATAGGCTCTCTTTTTACCCTATCGGAAAAACTAATGCACACAAAGATTTAACTGTTGGTATCCTCTCCTGATTGTGCATTCTTGGCTATGTTTGATAGCCTGTTTATTCCATAGATTGTTGTTGTTGTTGTTAAGTGCTCATAGGTGACTCATAGCGACCCGATGAAAGAAAGTCCTCAACACCTGTGTGACTTTCCTCTCTCCAGGTTCATAGGGATTCCAGAGGCAAGCTATTGTGGAAGTGGATGCCACTCCTGCTTCCAAGCTTGTTTTAATCGGGGAGCTCCACCAAACACTGTCTGCCATGGGTAACCATTATCACATTTGACACATTAGTGTCACTACGTTCAGCTTCACAGCAACCACGAGTTACCTCCGTACATGCCATAGATTAGGGCTCCTAAATTTGTTCCCATTTTTTTTCTGATAATCATTAGTTTTTATCTTGCCCCTAGTTCTCTGATTTACTTTGAGTTGGGTCTTTGTGTATGATGTGAGGGGTGGATCTTGTTTCAGTTTCCTTCAGACAGATGTCCAGTTTTGCCAGCACCATTTGTTAATGAGGCTGACGTGTTCTCACTTAATGGATTTTTGACTCTTTGTCAAAAATCAGTTGACTACTAGCAATGGGGAGTGGATAGTACCAACTGAATAAAAAAATCTAATAATTAAGGCAAGAACAAACGGGGTGGGGGAATCTTACTCAACAAGGTAAGGGTCACTTCAGGCCTTTGCATCCTGGGTCTCTTTGCCCTGCTCTTTGCACAAATCATTTCTAGTTGTTTGTTGTTTTTAAACGTTATATATTTATTTGTTAGTTTCGTGCCGTTGATCAGATTACATCTCCTAGGTATCCTGAACTTTGTCCTGTTCCCTGCCACCCTCATGACCTCTGCCATGCTGAAGCCCACAGTTCTAATCATTGGGTCTGTTCATTTCTTCTTTTTTTTTTGGGGGGGGGGTGTCTTTCTTTCTCTAACCCTCCAACTTTCCCAGGCCTATTCCGAGGACTGATCCCTCCTGAGGACATGCATAAAATAAAGGATAGTTGATGAGTTGAAGTTTGGATAAAACGACTGAAAGGAAGCAAATGCACTCATGTTTCAATGCCGCTCAGCAGCAGTGAGAACATCTGAGAAACCAACTTCCCCTGTGTGACTTCCCCTTGGCCCGTGAAGGGGAGGTGCATGTGCCTCACCAGCAACCCCATGCGAAGAAAGAGACACGCCTAGATGTCCTGTGCAGGGGCTGGGGTCCTCCGGACTCCCTAGTGACAGATGAGGATGTGAGTTTCATTTGTCCCCTGGACTCGTCTTTATGAGACCACACATACATTAGAAACACAATTCAAAACCCAACAACGTGCTTATTCACGCAGATGCGCTGCCTGGGGCACAAGCAACTTGGTAACGATCACAGGGGACCGAGTGCTAACATCGGTTCCCTTCTGCTTTCTTCCTAAAGTTACGAACAACTGAAGTCTTCATTCGGCCGCAGGTGAGCGGCCGCAGGTGAGCGGCTGCAAGGACGAACCCGACGGGGCTGGGACTTTAGTTAAAGGGATGCTTCCGCTTTAAACTGGAGAAAGACGAAGACCCGGCGCCGCTCCCGTCCCGAGTCGCCCGGTTTCCAGGACGACGGAGCGCCCCCACCCCCCTGCAAAAACCCGCACCGCGCGGCACCCGGAGACGGAGGGCAGGGCCGGTGCCCGCGGCCGGGAACGAGCCGCCAGCGCCTCCCGTGCCCCGGCTCGCCCGCCTCCCGCGCCCCGGCTGGCTCTTCTCCCGCGCCCCGGCTCGCCTCCAGCGTGTAGCTCTCGCTCATGCTCCGGTAGCTCTCCCAGGCCTCGGCCCGCGCCGCCTCGTCCATGTTGAGGCGGCTGCACAATTCCTGGAACCGCTGCTGCGTCTGAAGGGCCGGCGATCGGGCGGCCGGGACGCAGTCCTCCGCCTCGCCATCGTCATCCTCCTCCTCCGAGGCCGCAGGCAGGGGAGGCGGAGGTGGCGACTGGTTGTTTCCTGACGGCATTGCGCGCCCCCTGGGCAGCCGGTCTTCAAGTGAGATGAGGACCAGGGCCCGGAGCCATTCAAACTACCGAGGGCCCACCAGGCTGCAACCCTTCCCGGGCTGCGCCGCCTCCACTAGCCCGGCCCCTCAAATAGGCACCCGTACTCCAAGCGGGATTGCTGGGAAATGTAGTTCACGACGGTGGCCGACGAGGCCCATAAAACATAGACAGTCCCGCAGGTGCTTCTCATTGGGAAACTGTGGTGGCCTAATGGTAAGAAGCTGAGCTGCAATGCCTGAGCCAGTCAGTTTGAATCTTCTCGTGGAGAAGGCTGGGCCAGTTCCTCCCGTAAGATTTACCGCCTCCGAAAACCTGCTGGAGAATCAGCTATGGGTCGGTTAAGATTAGACAGTCCACAACTTCCCAGTGAGGAATTCAACATAGTTGTATTGAAGAGAAAACGTGCAAGAAACATGGACAGGTTTAGTGCCAAGTGTGACCAGAAATTAAATTTCCTTGCTGCCTGCATTCCCTTAACTAAAAGAGACATAAGGAGCCAGTTCTGGTTGAGTGTTGCTGAGCCTTATGTGAACTTTTACAGCATCTATTAGATTCTGGTTGGATTGGGTTTTTCGGTTGGTTGGTTTTGTTTAATGCACAAGTCCTCTGTCGGGGAAACGACCCATCTTTCCTATCTGGGCCCCCATCTTTTCTGATAAACTCTCTTTGCTTTCCCGTTCACTCCTGGTCTCTTGCTTTTCCTCTGAGTTGCGTGCTCTAACTAGTGTTATTTTGAGTAGGACAGAACCAGGGGATTCATCCTCATCTGATCTTCTTGATGTCTCCCGACCCAGTCCCATTTTTGTCCAGGCAAGGGAAGCCGAACCAGGGCATTCACTGCATGGTAACATTCCTGGTGCTGAAACTGAGGAGCGCTGAAAGGAACCTTGGGATCGTTCAAGAGGATAGATCTTCTACCACATCTCACGAGTGAGTTTGAACATGCACCGACCCTGCCAGTTTGGGGAGTATATAGGGTTACAGTATGTTGAACGTTCCCACTCCACTGCAGAGGGCAGCATTCTGTTCCCTTTTCACCCCTACTCTGTCTGTACAGTCGGACACCATGTCATTATAGGGGGGTGGGGTGGGAAATAATTTAAGTGACTTTCTTGAATATAGGGACAAAATGAGCTTTTCTTTTTTGTTGTGGTTCCCCCCCCCTTTTTAAATTGAGATGTTAATGAAAGTTTGTAAAGAACTTGGATTTCCATTCATTAATTGTTGCACATTTTCTTGCCGACCCTCTTCCCCACAGTTCGCTTTATTCTTTGGAGAAAAAAAAAATAGCCTTTTCATTGGTATATAGACCCCCACCCCCACCCCAGACCACATTACTATGCAGCTCTTATTCTGGACTCTTGTCATGCCAGTAACACCTAATCATATGTTCCTTTGCTACAGTTTTCTCCCTTGTCTGTTTTAATGCCATGTATATTATTTATCCCCTTTTCTTCGTTTCCCCTCACCCCCCTGTCAGTCCTGTTTTATAACAGCGGCATTGTGCAGTATTTGTCTTTTTGTGACTGAGATATTTCCCTCAGCATAATGTCCTCCAGGGTCACCCAAAATGAGCCTTTCTTTAAGTGTAGCCAGAGTTCTTTAAATGTGGTCACCAGTAGAGTGTCTGCAGCACATTCTTTGCTTGGGCTTGTGTTCCTCCTCTTGCTAAGTGGGAGTGGCAGGCCAGAAATCTTACAAAGAAAAGCAGAGTAGCAGATTTATTGGAGAAAATGGAGTTTTGAATTGGCCTAACAAAAGGAAAGGCCAAAGCCCTGGCTTTGGTCCGCTCACCTTGGTAAAGAAGCCAGGTGGGGGACACTGGAGGGGACAGTGGCCAAGCTGAAGTAGCACAGTGTACAAGCAATTTCAGTAGGAGAGCTGGTTACCCCCACCCCCACCCCCAGCTTTTAATTTTTTTACTAGTTTATTTAAAGACTGGAAGAGATTGATATTTGTTCCTATCCCAAAGAAAGGTGACCCAACAGAATGTGGAAACTACAGAACAATCTCACTGATTTCACATGCAAGCAA